AGAAAGTTGCATATATGTTTAATTTAATATCTGTGCACTGTACTATTTTTTAAATGATACAACATTAAATGGGGAACACAGTATTTATTACCCATGTATCACTTTGGTTCATGCCTGGGACATTTTTTAACCTTTGAGCATGTACAACCATAATGAACTAGTACACATATTGTAGCACCTACTGTTGATTGTTTATGTTAGAGCAAGACAAACAGGTGTTTCAGCATCAGGATTACTCATTGCTTGCCATGTATCCCTTTGGCCAATTCACTACCTTTGTGAAACAGGGATAATAATACCTATTAGGTAGAGGTGTTGTTGTTAAGTGTCATCGAGTCAATTCTGACCCATAGCGACCCTGTATAGAGTTTCCAAGGAGCATCTGGTGAGCTTGAACCACTGACCTTGCAGTTCAAACGACATTTCAGTCAGACACATTAGCCAACAGTGCCACACCAGGACTCCAGGTAGAGGTGTGGCTAGGTAGAGGTGTGCCTAGGATTAAATGATCAAATGATTATAAATTAGCTAACCCAATGGCTCAGCTCTCAGGAACTGTTTTATTACAACTGTTGGATTTGTAGAGTCTCTTCCACTTCTGTCATTCAGAAAAACTGAATTGGAATTTCCATCTGGGGATCTTGTTAAAATGTCAATTCTATGTGCTTTACTCACTGCAGAGTCTCAGTACAAGAGTTGATACTCATACACCAGTAATCTGATTAGTGAACTGATTTTAGAGACAATAGGATGGCTACAGAAATAGATAAATAACAGTCAGGAAACCCTAGAATGCAATTTCAGTGAAAACAAGGGACAGAAGTGGACAGACCAACCAGCCTAAATGGGTTCTTTTAAAAATACCTTTACTAATTAGTGAAAATATATAATCCTCCGACTAGTGCAGAAGTGATTCAAATAGGATATCGCATTAAATAAGATGAAGAAAACCAGAGGTAGAAAAGGATGCAACTGTGCATTCCGATTATAAACTGTAAGCATGACAATCTAAGCCTGAAGTATGACATTGTACAGCCCAAATAACAGAAATGATTAGCTCTTGGAGCAATACAGAAAGTTAAGTCCAAACAAATGCACACCTTTCCTGATTTTAAACCCCGTTGCATCTCCTTGCTCTGTTCAAAAGATTGCCTTGTGGTCCAAATGCAGGTTCCACATGAGCGCAATTTAATGTTCTAGAATTCCCACTTTGCAGTGCTACCCAGAATGCATTATGATATACATATAAATGAATAGCTTTGCATTGTTAATCAAAAACAAACAGATAGCATCTTTCTGGTATTCTCTGCCTTCAGTCCAGATTCATCTAGCATCAGCTATGATATCATTTGCTTCATGTCCTCTTCAGAATTCAGTTTGAATTTTTGGCAGTTTCCTGTTGATGTACTGCTACAACCATTTTTAAATTATCTTCAGCAAAATTTACTAATGATATTGATGTTGTTTAATAATTCCCATATCCCACTAAATCACTTTTCTTTGGAACAGGCACATATGCGGATCTTGGTTGTCCAGGCAGCTATCTTCCAAATTTCGAGGCATAGACTAGTGAGTGCTTCCAGTGCTGCATCCATTGATTGAAGCATCTCTATTGGTAGTCTGTCAATTCCTGGAACCCTGTTTTCTGCCAGTGCCTTCAGTGCCACTTGGTCGTCTTCTTACAGTACCATCAGTTCTTGATCATACATACTTCCTGAGATGACTGAACATAGACCAGTTCTTTTTGTATGGTGCCTCTGTATACTCCTTCCATCTTCCCTTGATGCTTTCTATAGTGTCCAATATTGAACTCACAGAATTCTTCACTATGGCAACTCAAAGCTTGAATTTTTCCTTCAGTTCTTCCAGCTTGAGAAATACTGAGTGTTTTCTAACTCCAGCTCTTTATATACTTGATTTTATCTTCTGGAGCTGCCCTTTGAAGTTTTCCACTCAACTCTTTTACAATTACTTTTGTAAAAAGTACATTTCTTCCTTTTAGTTTAATCTTGTTCAAGAACAAGATTCAGAATCTCTGCTGACATTCATTTTGATCCTTTTTTTTTTTTTTTGTCTTTTTCATGACATTTTGCTTTCTTCATATATGATGTTCTTGATAATACCCAACTTACCATCCATGTGAAGTTTCTACTTCACTTCATTATCTTAAATGAAGTGGATGCTTAATAATAATAATAAAAAAGGATGAATAAAGTTATGCACTCAAGATAATCAAAGTGCTTCTATTATTAAGGGAATGTAGGTTTGTAAAAGCCTGAATTAGCATGTTATATAATCAGCATTGGATTCCTGCATTTATGTTTCTGCCATTTTGAGATCCTCTTAGAAAAGAAATATCATATACTTGTTGTTTTCAAATGCTGTCCAATAGGTTCTGAATCATAGCAACCTTGTATAGGGTTTCCAAGGAGCAGCTGGTCGGTTTGAACTGCCAACTTTGTGGTTCACAATCCAGAGCTTATCCTACAGCGCCATATGAGAAGTCCATATCTAAAGATGACAGATTAACATACTTCAAACTCCCTTTTCACCTTTCTACTATAGTAGGCACGAGTTCTTCCTAAGAATATTCTGACTGACACCTCAGGGTATTCTGTTCAACGCTTTTAAAAAAGAGAATACTCCAAATACTTCAGTATGATCATTGAAGATTTATGTTATAGTTTAAATATATTCCCTTTCTGAAATAAAAAATCCCAATGGGAAAACGCCTTAAAGAGCAGCAATATGACAGATGGTCTCGAGCCCCCAAAATCATCTAGTTTGAGGGGTAGTAATAAAAAATAAAATAAATGGGCTACAAACAGTAAATACTACAGCTAATACTGGAGTGCTTCCAGTGGACTGCACATTGTTCTAAGTCCTTTGCATGTTTTAACCTGAATTGGGCAGTCAGCTGTCTGAGTTTGAGTCTTCATTTTGCCACTTAATTGTTGTGTGCTTTTGGGAAACTGTGCTCAGTTTCCTCATCAGTAGTATGGAGTTAATGGTAGTAGTTCATTAGAACTGTTACAGTGATTGAGTGAGGTAGTATTTGTCATGCATAGACTAGCAGCTGGTGTAAGTGCTGTGTGTTTGCTAAATTGCTAACATGCCACAGTTAAATACACGGTTCCTTCTGACAAGACTCTGCTGGCCCCCAAAGACCACTTACCTCCTTGTATAACACCAAACTGTTTCTTTTCAAAAGCAATTTATTTCTGAAGTTAACTCTGTTTACCATGCAGTTCTTCATGTTTTTAAAAATTTTTAAGAAAGCTTTTGAAAAGAGCAAAGCCAAACCAAATCCATTGCCATCAAGTTGATTCTGACTTTAGACAAAGGAGAATTGTTCCGTAAAATTCCTGAGGTTCTTTATGGAAGCAGACTATGGAGTTGCTGGTGGGTTCGAACCACTGACCTTTTGGTTCGCTAAGCACTGTGCCATCAGGGTTCCCTCTCCACTCAACATCAAGTAACAATGACAGTTTGAAAATTTGACTTTGTTTGCTCACCTCTTTTTCCTTCTAAGTTGAAAGCATATGGGTTGTCAGAGAAATTGTAAGCTTTGGGCTACAGGCTACAAGTGCATAATAGATGTGAGGAATGAGGATGGAAGCGGCTGGTAATGGTTCCAGATCAAGATTTTCCATTTGTTTGTGCAAGATGGTTGAGACAGAAGTCTAGAGAGGCATATTTCTTGGGCTTCATGAACCTGCATTTTAATCCAGGCTGACCCAGACCAGACTTCTATTTTCTTGTATTTAGACACTGGAAATAATGATGTTAGACCTTCTCAGTCACACAGAATATTACCATGCACAAACTTTTCAAATGAAGTCATTTTACAGTTATTGCAAAGCAATCTCCATGTAGAAAATTTACTTGGCTTTCATAGCTCCTGCTCAGTTAGTAAATACTCAAAACTCCAGCTTCCAGGCTCCTCAGACAGTTGCCAATCTTTTCCATTTGAACTTCCTGGAATATTCTTACGTTAATCAATCTTTGACAAATAACTTTTTAATTCCCTGAAAATTTCTTATTAGCTGGCTGTATTTAATAGTACGTTGGTGGCACTTAAAAATAAAGGCATTTGTTTTCATTTTTGTTTTAGGAGATTGTAAATACTTTGTCAAATAAGATCTTTTTTTTTTTTTTTTTTGCAAGCCAGCTATTTAAAAAAATATTTTCTTTTTCAAAAACAGTATGTTGAAAGGCCCAGTGAGTCATTTTTCAAATTCTCTATTGAATAATTCTATTTTGTTGGTTTTTTTTTTAAAAGAAAATCGAAACATAGATACAGCCACCAGTAACGTCTTAAATTATTTTTTGTCCAAAGTATTGTTCTTGAATTTGATTGCTCCATTTTCTTACTTCTTATTCCCTTTAGGATGGTCCCCTCTGTAATTAGTAAAGGTACATGTTTGTCTTATGTCAAAAGTCTAATCTCTTTAGCCATATGTGCAAAAGCAGTATCATTACTATGTAGTATTAATTAGGTCATGTGACTGTTTTTGTTTTAATTATTGCACATCATCTTATCTTGCTATTCCTTAAAACACATTAGTGAGCAAATCCATGGGTACCATGTTTCTGGTTTTGTATGGAATTAAATATGTGCACATTTGCATAAACTTGTTAAACAAATCAGTTTCTTTTACCTTTATAATATTAGGGATCGATTTGATTTTTTCCTACTCTCTCAAACATCAATTTAGACCTGAAGAAATAAAATACGTGAAAGAATTATTTCTTTGCATTTTGCCTTATTTATAGAACACAGATTGGAGCTCTCTGACTGAAGATGTCTTAGTTGACCTATATAATAAGATTGTTAGAAAGTCTAAGATTTATATTGCAGATTCTGCTTAAATAATTTGGTAGAAAACGTAATGATGGGTACCCATTTTGAACTAAATGCAAGCATTTGTCAGATTATATGTAGAAAATGACATTTATCTGTGTTCAGATTTTTAACTTTTGTCTCCCTGTTTTTTCAGTTGTTTTTATTTCAGTTGCTGCGAGGGCTGTCTTACATCCACCAGCGTTATATTTTGCACAGAGACCTGAAACCACAGAACCTTCTGATCAGTGACACGGGGGAGTTAAAGCTGGCAGATTTCGGTAGGAAAGCAGTTAATTACCAGTTTATTTTGTCACACTGTGAGAATGCCAGGCAGATGGTGGCATTGCATTTGTTTAGGTGCACTTATTCTGTCATTGTAGATCACGGTACACTTTAGTTTTTCTGGAGTGAAATGTTTTTTTTTTTCCTTTTTTATGATCAATATAATGCTTGGTACATTTTAAAAAATTCAAACTTAATTTTAAATAATGGTTAGCATAAGTCGGATTTTATAATATATAGTGCTAGAGGAGAAGCCAATTTTTTTTTTCCATTGTGATTAAATATATATAGCAAATCACTTGCCATTTCTACCATTTTTATGCATATGATTCTGTGGTCAGTAAAATTTTGAACATAAAATATATTTAAAGAAATAGGATTGTTTCACATTGTATTATGAAAATGTCAAGCCTACTCAAAGCCAGAAGGAATACTGTATTATATCCCCAATTTGGAGTCCTGTTGTGGCTCTGTAGGATAAACACTGGACCGCAAGGTTGGTTTGAACTACAAGGTCTGGAATTCAAATCCACCAGCCTCTCCTTGGAAACCCTATATAGGGCCACTATGAGTTGGAATCCGCTCAACAGCACAAAATAACAACAACCTCATTAACTATCACCCATCTTCTACCATGATCTCTTTGTTGCTTAACTTGAAGAAATTTAAAATTTAAGGCTCGGAACATGTTGGGGGCATCACAGGTTCTGTTCAGCAGAATCTGTTTCTCTAAGGCTTCTTTCTCTAATATATTATTGGAAAAGCCTGATGCTGTTTAATCAATTCTGACTCATAGCAACCTTATAAGACAGAGCAGACCTGTTCCATAGGCTTTCCAAGGCTGTAATCTTCTGGTGTGGCACGGTAGGACCAGTGCTGGACTGCAAACCACAAGGTTAGCAGTTCAAACCCACCAGCTGTGTCTTGGAAACCCTATACAGGGTCGCTATGAGTCAGAACTGATTCAATGACACTTTACAACAACAATGTTTATGGAAGCTGTCATATCTTCCCGTGAAGTGGGTGGTGGGTTCAAACCACAGACCTTTAGTTTAGCAATGGAAAATGCTTATCCACTGAACCACCATGACTCCTTCCCTAAGATTTTGATAGCATAAAATTCCGGGAGCCTTATTAACCTTTCCAGAGTGACTGCTGATTCAAGAATTTCCAATACTATTGCAAAAGCTGGGGCTCCAAATGCGGCCCCACTATAAGTCATTCTGATTTAACAGTTTTAAGATGGGTCTCTTCCAGCTTAAACGCTTGCCTTCAATCTCTGTCTTTGAGCAAAGGAGGTAAAGCTGTTGTATTTTCTTGATCAAGTCTGACTTTTCTGAATTGCCAGACTCCCTGACATACCAGAAGACTGTATTGAGTTGATTGCCAGGCAGAGGTGTGTTTGCTGTGTGATGTGTGGATATTGCATCTACTCAATTATTTTTGAATACATATTCTGATTAGAAATTTGCTCCATTAGGACTGGAATGAAAACATTGCCCTTGGGACATAAGATGTCTTCGGTTGAGATATGGGCTTTTGCTGAAATATGATTATCTTTTCCCACCTTATTCTTCAGCAATAAAATAGGATAGAAAATGTTTATATCTATTCAAAGTTAGTAGACTGATTACCAAATGCGTCTACTCTGCTGAGTTTTGCACCTAATTTTTTTTTATAAACTAAAGTAAAACAGAGATTGGCATGAGTATTGATGCATTGGTAAATGTTGCCATTTGTCCTTTTCTCACCTATTTCAGTAAACTTGATGAAATTATGTGTATGTATGTGCATACATTTATGTATTGTTTATTGCCTGATTCTAGCATCATAATTATACCATGTGACTAGATGTAAATCTTTCTATCAAAATAATGGGAAGACAGGTGGATGGAGGAACGAATAAGGTTTATGTTGTTGTTGTTATTAAGTGCCATGGAGTCTGTTCCAACTCATAATGACCCTAGGAGCAGCTGGGCTGATTTAAATGGCCAACTTTGTGATTCAAATTGATATTGCAGTCAAGTGTTTATCCACCTACAGTGCCACAAAGTCAAGGTTATGGGCTTTTCAATGAATATATAGTTTGCCACTCCAAGTGATTTAACAAGAATTTATAGTGATTTTCTTATGATGTGCTAGTATTCTGTAAGGCGTATGTTGGGGCCAGTGAGAGTATTACTCATTTCATTCTATTGAACACTTCTTTGTATATTTATAAAATAAATTTTTATAAAGTTGATTTTGTCTGTATAACCAAAGAAAGGGATGGGCTTCAAAAATTTTGTGGGAAAATGGAATTAAAAGATGATAGAATTTGTCCCCAGCAACTTTTTGAAATCCCCCTTATGAAAGGGACTGCATGTAAGTGCTTATTGGGAATTATATCTTAATTTTGAATTTTATGTTGATGCTTTGGTTACAACAGGTAAGTTATTAAAGATTATCACGGCCAAATTGACATTTTGTAGTATATTCAGAAGGAAATGTCAAATGTATTTTTAAAAATTAAAATTGTGTATAAAACTGGAAAATTTAGAACAACTCAAAGATGACAAACATTAACATTTTAGTGGTATATTTCCCCAGTATCTTTCTTCTCTCTCTCCTTCTCCTGTCTCTCTTTTCTCACATTGTTATTAAGTGCTGTTGAGTCATTTCCAATTTATAGTGACCCCGTATGGGGTTTCTAAGCAGTGACTGGTGGGTTTGAACTGACAACCTTTCGATGAACAGTCTGGTGCTTTTCCTACAGCAACAGAATACATATCCTCAAAAAAAAAGAAACGTATAAAATGTATAACCATTTTTCATAGACGATTATTTCATTAATATTTTCTCATGCCCAACTTTATTCTCTTTTCAGTACTTTATGAATGAACAGTTTGGTTTCGGTTGTTTGCTGTTATGCGCAGTTCTGTACATCCTTGTAGATTAAGTGACATGCCCTACATCGGAATGTTGTGTTGCTTAAAACATACTTTTTCAGGCCAGTTTGCTCCGTGGAAAGGATGTTTCCATATACATCCTATCAGTGTCATGGACTGGATCTTCTAGCTTGGAACACACACTTGGCATGCTGCCTGTGCACTGAGTATAATGAGGGAGACTCATTCACCAACTAACAATTTTCCCCCAATTAATTGTGCATTATTTTTGTCTTTTAATTTAACACATGCAATTAACAGTGATTTACTTTCTGTGCACATGTGTGTATCTGAGATGAAGGAAACACAGTAGAAGTTTCAAAGAAGCTAGACAATCAAAATGGGATGGATCTAGATAACAGCACAATTAGAAGCATGAGGTAATAATTTTGATATATGAAGAGCATTAGAGTTTTCTTTGCTCAGCTATTTTTTATGTGAATAACACCATAGCATTTTGATTAAAAGAGACAAATTTGTTTGAACTGAATTCCTATATCGTACTTGCAACCATATTCTATTTACCAGACACTTAGGGTTCTTGCTCCATTGTATCTTCAACCTAGTAAAGTAGGTGGGCATAGCCTTATATTTCTGAGAAAGACATGAAAGAATGAGAGAGAAGAAACTTGCCCAGGTTTGGTAACACTGATCATGGTTGCGAATCTGTGATTCATTTATGTCATCTGTATCTTTTAGTCTCAGGTGGATCCAGGTTCTTTATATTTACTCACATACATAGTTTACTTATCCAGATGCCTAACCTTCCAGTAAACTATTGGTCATTTTATATATAACAAATACAGCACACTACTATGAAAATATATTGTACTAAGACTGAAAAATAGCTCATATAATTTAAAGAACATTTTATTACTTGGCTAATTCAGTAGTAATGTGTAAGGTCATCACAAGATAGTATATTTAGAACTATTTGGGTGTAATCAGAATGCATTTCTGATGTCTGTTATTGCTTTCAGTTGCCCTTGAGTCTATTTTAACTCATGCCAATCCTGTATGTGCATAGTAGAACTGCTCCCTAGAGTTTTCAAGACTGTGACCTTGTAGAAACAGATCCCTCAGTTAAATTTTTGAGGTGCCTCTAAGGTGGGTTCTAACAGGAAACCTTTCCAACAGATACTTTCTAATCTCCTTTTCAGTGCTAACTTTTTATTCTGTGTATTTCTGAAATCATTAACCAATTAGATGGGGGTTTTTTTGTGGGCAAAATCAATTCATGAAATCTAGAATGCGCTCCTCTTTGACTCTGATATCTAATACTATCTTCTGGAAATTCAGAATAGATAGCAGCTCTCCTTACCAACCAACAAACAAACAAAAGCAAATAGATAGGAACCATGCTTTATAATGTACATTGAGATCTCACTAAAAGAGAATTATTGAGGTCTGACAAATACATAATTACATTCACCAAGAAATTAAAGTTCATTTACCCCATAGTATTATTTTTCCATCCAATTGTGATTAAAACAAAATAGATGAGTCCTGCAAGATAATATTGGCATCGCCACATTTTTCAGACATTTTCTGGTATTTTTGAGTGTCATGGCCTAGCTATATTAAAAGACCAAAGCCCCAAATCCAACCCCAGTGCTGCAGAGCAGATTCGGCCTCCTAGTGACTTAAAGGACAGAGTGGAACCGCAGCAGCTGCTTTACATTTGCCTCTGAAAAGAGACGTGGAGGTCATGATTTATTTTACAGACTTTCCTAATGCAGGGACTAAGTTAAACAGCCCTGTGATTTTAATCAAGTAAAACTACACAGGTCTCTCTTCCAAAGGTCTAAAATGCTGCCCTCCTAATGTGGGTAATTTCTTCCTCCAGGCTGTTCCTTGTCTAGATTTGAGAAAGGAAATTATGGCAAATCACATTGTAGATTAATTTACAAAACACACCATAGAAGTGACTCTGCAAAGGACATAGTGTGTGCATGGTTGTTTGTTATGTGCTTTTCAGCATTCACATCGGGAATAGAAAACAGAAAGAAATCAACTTCTTTCAGATGCAGAGTAGAGTCTGTCAGTTTGATAAATAAAAAAGTCTCTGA